AAACGTCAGCCTTCCTGCTCCTCTGATGCTGCTTGGCCTGCTGTGTTCATCCAGCTCTAAACCTTGTTATCTCAAGTTCAAAGCAATTTTTTTTCTGAGGTTAACAGAAAAGTGGATTCCTGGAGAAGAGAGTTCACTTGGCCAACTGGCACTTTTGCTATCAAACTTAAATCAGCATCTTTTGAGAAAGTGAATGCAGGTTATGGTAATATTCTTAACAACGTTCAATTTATTTCTCAGAAAAGGTAAAGAAAAAACCCTCATTTCCTGAAGTGACATGCCATTGGACAGTGATGCCAAACACCTTGTTGAATGTGCTGCCATCAATACCTCCTGGGTATATATTTTTCCAGGGTCTGGTGTGGATGAGGGTAGCAACCTTCTGGTCTAACTAGAAGAGTCCCTTGTAGAAAACATAATGTACCTTATTACATCTCTGCAGCTGCTTACATGTTACATGGATATGGTATACATTATTACAGAGAACATGAGGATGACCCAATTTTCGGTTGGACTCCTTCAAAGTCCTTAGATACTCTCCCTGTCCCCTCCCTCATGACATCATCACAGTGGTTTTTATGGTTCTCAATCAGTATTAACATTCTCAGACTCATAACATTCTCAAACATGTAGATTGTACATGTCATGACACAAGCTCAGACCAGACTTGTAAGTAGCTAATCATTGTTACACTGTACGTAGTGGTAAGGTTATGGAGCATGATGCTCTGAGCTGTACAAAGTCCAACCTCTTATGAAGCTCTCACGCATGACCATTGAGATCACAGTGATATCACTGCACTGGTCTAATTTACATAATCATCAAATTCCATCACTACACCGCGCCCCAGCCCCAAATATTCTTTCAGCTTCCAAGTGAAACTATGTTCTTGACATTATTAACAAAAACATTTAATTAAAAACATTCTCATGATGATTGGATATATTTTCATTTCCACCCTCTTCCCCCAAAGACCACTTTTCACAGTGCAAAATTCGAGGAGATTTCATGATTCTCCATGAACTGATCTTCTGAAATTTCCTGGTTTGGAACCATACTTTCAGGGGCTGAAACATGAGTCAGCTCTGCATCTGTGCAACTATGTCTTCTACACTTCCCTATTGGAGCTTCAACTACATCAAGGAAAGAGCAGTAACTGATGAGCTGGTGGCCACATGCTGCTGTTTTAAAGAAAGTCTTATTTCACCTCACTTTGGGTTTGATGACCAGCCACTGTCTTCAGGACATTCCCTGAGGATCCTGTTGCTTTGTAGGTCAACCTTATGTTTACTCAGTTTTGCCTGGTGCTTCTTTACATTCTTCTGAAAAAAAATCATCTTTCTTAGACAAGTGTCTTCAACATTGGCGCCACGTTTGGTTATGTTTTTGTGTGGTTGCTTCAGGTCTTGATACAAGCTCAGGCCAGACTTAGTAACTAACAGTATATATCTTTTGTTTCAGCATACATGATGATAAAGCTATGGCCCAGGAAGATCCATGCTGCACAGGGTCCACCTTCTCACTGCAGCCTGAACAGATGGTCATTAAGATCACCAGGACATCATACCTCAGAAGCTTTTTTTAGATAATCATCAAACTCTATCTCTGCAAAGGAACTCAAGATGGACCTTTGAAAGAGGGTCATTACTGACAATACTTATGAAAGGAGTCGTATATACAATATTGGAGGAGATTGAGAAGTTGATGATGCTAGCAAAATTGGACAAAAGATGATCAAACATTGAGCCAGAATAGGGATCGAGGAAGCAGATAAGGGAGTCTTACAAAGAAAGTCAGCCTGATGCAAGGTGGGCAAAGAGGGAACTGAGACAGCTGAGCAAATCATCTCAAATTTTAAGATAAAAATACATATCAGCTGTCAGACTGGAAATGAGGATGGTCAGGGTGGGGAGTCAGGCATGCCAAAGGAAGAGAAAGCAAGTTGGAAATAGTTGGAAACCTTCAAGGTTGAACCTAAAATGGTAGGGGGATCTGGCAGCTGAGTGGAAAAGACAATGTTGCTTGAGATGTTTGAGCCATATCTGATGATGGATAACCTGGTTGGTCAAGAGTAAGCACACGCTCATGCCTGCAGGCTTCATATTTGAGGATCTGGATATTGGCACTGTATTGGAATAGTGAGGGTGGATGCCAAATAGCCTAATGGGTTTGAAAGCAGAAACAAGGCTTTAATGAGTAGCTACAATGAGAGAAATGGAAGAGTTCCTAAGAACAGCAACATTCAGTCCACATTCCTGTCTCGAACAATATCAAACAAAGGATTAATTCATTATGCCTGTCTGTGATGTAACACACTTTACTGCAGGACAGTTATTGGACTTGAAAATATCAGGTCCTTCAAGGTATTATAATAAGGTGCTGCGCAAATGCAAGTATTTATTTCCGTTCTTGTGGTCTTTGAAGTGTGCAATTAGAAAATCAGTGAACCCAACAGTCCAGTAATAGAAGTGTCACCACTGTATTTTTGTTAACGACATAAATAGATAAATTGAAATTTTTCAGAAAAGTTGCTAAGAAACCACAACAGAATAGCATAAATAATGTAACATTGAATGATAAAAATAAGAGCCAAGGTAATAGTAAAGCTGTCGCATCAATTGTAGATGGATATATAACCTTAACAGTCAGTAATAGGGAATGTGCAATGATATTGTCTTGTACTTATTGATAATAATTAAGCATTAAGAGTAAATCCACAGCACTGTATTGTGATTTTGGATTTTGGGGTCCTGTAAACTATAAATATACGTAAAACAGCTATTGAATTGTTAAAATTGTGAGGGAAACCTTTTTTTAAAATCAGAGTACCTATGTTCTATTTCTGCAGAATCTGGAAATTGAGTCTTGGAAACAATAATTGCAGATGGAGCTGAGGGTAGCTACCATTTAGTCCATTTTATTTAGTCCATATGTTACTACTATTGAGTTTAAAAAGTAGCTGCAGGTAAAATGGGTAGCCCATGGATTTCACAGGATGCTGGGTTACATTAACTGATCTACCTCCTTACGCCTAGGTCTCAGAAACAAAAAATAACCCAAATCATTAAAATAGATACTGGCACACTTTGGTGAATTTAATTAGAAGTCATGAAATGGTCACAACACAAAAGGAGATACATAATTGTAGTTGTATCGTTATTCTAATACACACATGGCTCAACAATCATGAAGCAGGGAAGTTAAGGATAAACAACAGCTATATACATTGTGTACATGTAAGGACTGTGAGGATTACATTGAGCTAGGGAATTCCTTATTCTGTCTGCCTTCCCTTTCCCATCAGCCCTCTCTCCACCTAAGACACTCTTTCTTTTCCAGTGAGAGTTTGCTTGAC